CTAGCTTCATTCACTGAAAACCTTTAACACGTGTTAATGTTTTGATAATAACTTTCATCATAAACTTTATTGCGAGCGGTCATGATATTGTCATCAATCTCGTCTTTTAGTTGAGGCTCGCTTCCTGTTGCAGTAATCTACGTACGTTAGTGGGCTTATTGAGACCCACCAACACTTTGATGAATTTTAATTTAGCTGATACACGTGGATGGCATCGCTATTAATAATATAAATACTAGTGTATGCCCTTTCTTCACAGAGACTCAACATTTTAGGTTTTTTTCCCCTAATTTACAACCTAAGCGGCAATCAATTTCAAGGCAACCAAGTACAATAACACAATACACAACAATAGATGCAACGGACTATATCAGATTATTTCCTGTAAAATTAAATGATAAATACGTCGTTTTTCTGTACTTCTTTCTTATTCTATTATTTGCATTTTTTCACCCACCTCATATTTATTTTTTCGAAGTGGCGAATCGCGTGACCACTCTGTCGTTATAGAACTGTTTTTCTGATGTTTCTTTTCCTGTCAAGGAACCCAAAGGCAACAGCACGAAGAACTGAAATAGGTAAAACAGATTGTATCAGATTATTTTCGATGTTCTCGGACTATTTTCTGATTTTTTCTTAAACACAGGCATGATTCATGTCGAGTTCGTAAATTATCTAGACATTAAGAGGGCATTTCCAGAGATTTAGATCGATCTTACTAGATCCTAAGACTGATAGATCGATCTAAATCTGTGGGAATGCAGTCTAAGATGCGATGTTCATTTAGTCATAAAATACATGTACGTGACACTTGAACAGACGCAGATTGAACTCATTTTAATGGGCTAAAGTTCAAGCGTTGCACTGGCTATCCAAAGGAATATGAGGCTGAAAATTGACCCAAACTTTAAGATCAATATTATAGCCCACAAAACAGTGCCTATGTTAATTAGCAGACAGGCATACAGTAACAGTGCCAGCTGAAATTCCCCTTACCAAATGGCCGCATGGTTTCCCTGCCCTGCCCCATATGGTCGAACAATAGAGGCCGCTTGATAATTACAGTTTAGAGGAATCGGCAAGTAATCCTTATCGGACACCCAAATTAGTCGGTTCAACGAACACGCTCTGCTCCTTCTTAATTGCCTCACTTAAGTTTTCTATTATAGCTGATGCAAAGAGCTTGCTATCGACACGAGCAAACAATACCGGGTTATGTTGTATCAACTGCAACAGAAGACTAGAGTAAAGGCAGATCGAATATGAGAACAAAACTCTGAAGAACAAATCAGGCTTAGTTTTAAAACACGTATTACAATTTTATTTGACGTTCACTTGATGATAATAAGTCACGATCAACATAAGCGTGGTTAAAATGGATAATTTTAAATAGCTAATACATCAAATAAATAGCAATGTCTCATTATCTTTATTATATGTGTTGCTAGTTTAGTAGCCTGATGCACGACCTTCTCTCTCAATTACCGCTGGAATCACCTTCTTTAGGTGATTAATATATTTATTACACTTATTGCGTTAATATTTTCCCATGTCTCTCTAACGCAGAGTCATATTGGAATTGTGAAGATTTGGAAAATTTGAGTGTCGATTTATACTGTTCACTTGGCAGGTGACACGATGGCACAGAAATCAGTGACATAAACATGTCATATTATACTAAATACTTACTGGGCATTTAGGAAGTCCAGATACACAAACAATCCTGTTGACACGTGTCAGTTGATTGATTTAAAATTAGGTAAAATTGATTAGTTTGGATTGAAGAGCGTCATCGCAATGTTAACATTAATTT